CATATTGACTTTCTCTGACTTTAAACAGCTTCTGAGTACTGTGGCAAAGCAAGTTATTTTGTGCTTTATACATTATCTGTGCCATTTTATATTCAACTAAATCATAAAATTTCAGGGTATTCAGATTATTAAACAAAATGTTAGTTGGTTCTATATAGTTGGAGATAATCATTCTCTTACTTAATTGCTAGGAAGGTACCATGTGGGTGTGCATACTGTGGGTAGCTTTTGAACCATCCTATTATTCCAGGGTTTTTCTACTTTTCCACTTTCACCACTGGTTAACTCACAGGGTTTACTGCTTAATGAGGGTTAATGGCAGTAGATACAGTGTAATCATTTTTCTATAAATTTATATTACTATACTGTTTAAGAGTATTAACTACATTACAAATGTATCCTCTGTCCCGTAGGTAAAAAATGCAAAGCCCCGGTCACTCCAGTCACTCACAACAGACATCGTTATTCAAAGAGCTGTGATATTTGGGGCACCTTGGATGGAGCGTGCCTGTATTTTTGAGCCTGTTTGCTCAGGCTGTTAAGTTGCTCCAGCTTCAGGAAGGGATTCCACAGGAATGAACACTTGTCCTGTTAAAAAGAAGAGCATATTTATCATTTTAACAACTCTATTGGTCAGATTTACTAAGTTAGCAAAACGTAATATTGTTGCAACCACAGAAAAGGCCCAATTTATGAACACAGCAAGAGTAGCATAGAAAAAAATGATGATGATGATGATGATGAGGCAACAGATCTACTTAATAATGATATGCACTGTAGTAAGAATAGATACAGGATTTTTTAAGGATTCTCTTGAAAACAGAAGGTTAAGGAGACAAAGTCATGAAAGTTACTGAGTGCTGGGCACACCGAGGCTTTCAGTCTTAGATCAGAATATGTTATGTTATGTACACTTCTAACAAACTCCTTACTTTGACACACAGTGATGTATGCAGCAGACTTCTTATTATAGTAGATGATTCCAGATATTGCAATAACAAATCCAGTCACGAGTCCGCACAGTCCAACAGCTATCTGAGTTCGTTGTTCCACTGGGAGGGAGGGGTCTGAAACAGTGAGATAAAAGTGAAACTCGTAATTATGCAGCTTCAGTTTTATCTCTCTACCTTTAATTGGCATCACAGCAGCAAACTTACCCCAGACCACAAACATCGGCTCGGAGAGACCAAGGTGTTCGACCATACAGGCAATTTTTTCTGCTGAAGTTGGGATGTACTCCAGGTAGGAATGAGTCTGGTAGTACCAGTCACCATCAGGCATCACGTCAGAGTAACTGACATCTGTGGTCACCTCCTGGCCGTTTCTCATCCACATCATTCTGATTTGTTTTGGATAAAAGTTGTAGGCACTGCACACAAGCGTAGATGCGTGCTCGCCATTAGGCCTTTTCACTGATTTTAGTCTGACAGTGGGTAT